AGGCAGGGGGTCTCAACTTGTGGGTCACTGGCCCCCTCTGGGGTCACATATCAGCTATCCTGCATATCAGATACTTACATTACAATTCATAATAGCAAAATTACAGTTATGAAGTAGCAATGAAATAATTGTGTGGTTGGGGTCACCACACATGAGGAGCTGTAGTACAGCATTAGGAAGGCTAAGATCCCTGCTTTGAGGTATCCAATAGGCTTTAAATTTTTGACCCTCCTACTTCAGTCTTCCCAGAAGCTGAGCTCATTGTCTGTGCCACAAGGCTCAGTTTTTCCTTGATTCAGATGTGTGGGCAAGATGACACCCTTGACATCTGTTCCATTTTGAAAATGTGATAGACACGATGTGTATGTGGCGGTTTGAATAGGTATGCCCCCCATAGACTTATGTGTTTGAATGCTTGGCCCATAGGGACTATTATTAGGAGGTGTGGCCTTGTGGTGTGGGTGTGGCCTTGGAGGAAGTATGTCACTACTATGGGGTATAGCACTATTAATAAAAGCCCAGAGACATATTGGTGTTCAACTTGGTCAGAAAAACAAAAAAGCCAGCTACTGGCTCTTACCTCGACCTCAGTCTGAAATGGCGATCCTGCCTCCAGGAATCTTCAGAATGAGACTATGTCTGAGAGCTGTCTTCTCCCATCTTAAATTCTTCTCTGGGACTGGGAGTAAAGGCATGTACTGCTACCACTTGGTTCCTATAGTACACTAGTGTGGCTACTGGGATTAAAGGTATGTGTCATCATTGCCTGGTCTGTAAGGTTGATTTACTCTCTGATATTTAGGCAAACTTTATTTTTAATTAAAATACAAATGAAATATCACCACAATAGGGGTGGGGTTTGAGGTCTTATATTCTCAATCTATGCTCAGTACGGGACACAGTCTCCATCTGCTGCCTGTGTATCCAGATGTAGAGCTCTCAGCTCCTTCTCCAGCACCGTGTCTGGAGAAGCACCATGTGTGCCGCCATGCTTCCTGCCATGACAATAATGAACTAAACCTCTGAAACTGTAAACCAGCCCCAGTTAATTGTTTTTCTTTGTAAGAGTTGCTGTGGTCGTGTCCTTCACAGCAATAGGAACCCTAAGACAGTGTCTATGTGTTTAGATGGGGAGGGTGGGGAGTAGCATTCATATAGTGAAATGTTTTGTGACATATTTGTTACTTGTGTCTGTGGTGGGAGGGGAATTTTGGGGGACTCAATTGCCTAAAGATAACAGATGATAGTGGCTGATAAAGAAACAGTTCGATTGGGAAGAAATGTAATCTTATCTATAGTACATGCTATTAGCTAGCAAGGTGCCCCATGTTCTCAGTGTCATTCCCAAGTGTGTTAGTTTGAATAAGAATGGCCCCCAAAGGTTCATATATTTGAATGTTTAGTCATTAGGGAGTGGTCTATTTGAAAGGATTAGAAGGGCTATGGGGTGTGGCCTTGGAGGAAGTGTGTCACTAGAGGTAGGCTTGAGGTTTCAAAAACCCAGGGCAAGCCCAGTGTCTTTCTCTGCCTGTGGATCAATACCTAGTTCTCAACTACTTCTCCAGCACCATGCCTGCCATGCCTGCTGCCATGCTTCCTGCCATGATGATGATGGACTAAACCTCTGAAACGGTAAGCAAGCCCCAACTAAATGCTTTCCTTTATAGGAGTTGTCCTTGTCATGGTGTCTATTCACAATAGAACAGTGACTAAGACACTCTAAGAGAGATTATTTCTCTTCGCACCTCTCCTTCCTGACTGCTGTAGATCATCATTTATCCTTCTTTTTTAAAATTGTTTTTATAAAGCTATGTACTTTTTTCTGCTCCCCTCCCTTCTCCTCCCCTCCCCTCCCCTTCTACACTCTCCCATGGTCCCCATACTCCCAATTTACTCAGGAGATCTTGTCTTTTTCTACTTCTCATGTAGATTAGATCCATGTATGTCTCTATTAGGATCCTCATTGTCTAGGTTCTCTGGTGCGGGGGGCCATCCTGTCCCGCAGGAATGAACGCCACCAAAAATGAGAATTCCTTCTCTGGTCACATCTTTATTTGGAGCATTCCCTTGAGGAAAATTGGGGGAAGGGAAGATAGAGCAGGGACGAGAGAAAGCTTAGAGAGAGAGCGTTGGGCCCCGAGGCAGCTGCTTTTAAACGGTGGAGCAGCTTGAACGCTGTCCTGATTGGTTAATGCCATTCTGCTGGTCTGAGCATGTGCAGGCAAGGGTGCAGGCAGGGTTGCTCAGCCCCACGTGGCTACCTCCAAACTGCAGGACCACCTGTGCCTCCAGGTGGCTCCCAACACTCTGGGATTATGAATTGTAGGCTGGTTTACCTTGCTTTATGTCTAAAAGCCACTTATGAGTGAGTACATATGATAAACTATGCCTTTTTTTTTTCTGAGACAGGGTTTTTCTGTGTAACAGTCTTAGCTGTCCTGGAGCTAGCTCTTGTAGACCAACCAGGCTGGCCTCAAACTCACAGAGATCCACCTGCCTCTGCCTCCTGAGTGCTGGGATTAAAAGCGTGTGTCACCGCTGCCCTATCCTTACTTCTCTGATCTATAATGGGCCCTTTTATTTAAGAAAAGATGAATGTGTATGTATGTTTTGTTTGCATGTATGTATGTGCATCATATGTATATCTGGTGCCTTTGGAGATCAGAGGTGCGTGTTGCATCCCCTGGAAGTGGAGTTGTCAATGGTTATGAACCAACATGTGAGTGCTGGGAATGAAACCCAGATCCTCTGCAAAAGCAAAAGTGCTCTTAACCACAGAGTCACCTCTACAGCCCCCAAAACTAGCAAGCTACAATTCTTTCTTTTCTTTTCTTTATTTTTTATTTTATTTTATTTTATTTTTTTTGAGACAGGGTTTCTCTGTGTAACGGTCCTATCTGTCCTGGAACTTGGAACTAACAGTTGTAGACCAGGGTGGCCTCGAATTCACAGAGATCTGTCTGCCTCTGCCTCCCAAGTGCTGGATTAATGGTGTGTACCACCACCGTCCGCTAGAATTTTTATGTATACAAGGGCCCTACTTCAAAAACAAATCTGTTTGTTATTCCTACACTGAGAATGTGTTAATCTGTCTTCAGCTACCTTTCATTCCTATGGATAATTTTCACTTTTAGGAACCTACAGGAACAGCAATGCAACAATAATACAGAGTTTCACAGATAAGTTTTTACACATTACTATTGGTTTATCATCTCTGAAATCATTAGCCGTTCATATTGATAAATTATCCTGTCTTCAAGATTGAAAGCCACTCCTGAACAGTGCTGTATTAGTCAAAAAGCAAGGAAAAGGTTTAAGTTGCCAACAAAGCAGAGGTATTAGTACATATGCGCTGTGGGAACCCCCTTTCGCCTCTTACCTCTCCCTGCCCCTGCACCAAAAACATTGCAGGTATTGTGAGAAAACCAGAGATTTGATATTCTTTCTTATATATTTAATTTCTAATTACTTGGGTGTCTCTCACTTGTCAGGACAGTTATTTCCATGACCTTATTACCCTGTTGCTAATTGTGGGGGCCAGTCATGATAATCTAAGTCTGGGCAGGTCACCCAAAGGAAGTTCTTCCAACAATTATCACCTGGGACTCTGGCCACCGATAAATTTAAATAAGAGGCCTGAGTCTCAGTAGTTTACCCTGAAGTAATACCTGGTAGCAGGAAAACACTACAAACTGAGATTACCAGACCCTCACCCCCCCAAGAGCAGACCATTCAAAGGAAATGCCTGACATTCCAACCGCTGTAGATAGGATCACCTGCCAGTGCACTTCACCAGGGCACCCCTAGACAAATGTCAGCCAATCAGGGGTCCTGAACCTCAGAGGCCCCTCACCCCCACCTTTACTACTATATAAACCAATTCTAATTGAGCTCAGGGCTCTCCAGTTATTCTAATATGTTGGACGTGCGGAGAGACCGAGTTTGCAAGCTTGATTATAATAAAGGCTCTTTACTTTTACATATGGAACTCGGTCTCCTTTGTTGGCTTTTGTGGGGACCCCACAGATTTGGGCATAACACTAATTGGCCTCGATCTTCAGAAAAATCAATGTACTGAAAAAAGAAAGCAAATAGGACTAAATGAAATTGTTAAATTGCTTAATTCCCAAATGAAAATGAACCCCATGTATGAAATTAATTGTGGAGAACCCCTAATATATCCATGTTTGCTAGGTCTTGTTGCTGAATTAACTTTCATCTTCATTAGTGTGCTAATATGAAGGTCACTTAAGGGAGGATATTTTATTTCTGAGGTGCACACTGAGGTCTGCACTCACTTTCTAAAAACTCAGTGAAAGTGCTTGGGTACATGGAGAGAAGTGAGCAAGACAGCAACTTTGACAACGCCGATACATTGAATTGAGGTGATGATTGTTATTCTATTGTGTTAAAAAGGGGGCTTGGGAGACATCTAAGTCACCTTTATCACAATAAACATAAAGACTGGAATTTGGATCCCTAGTGCCCATGTAAGTCTGGGCAAGCTTGAGGGCCCATGGTTAGGGATTTTTTGGGCAAAAATGAGGTGGGAGGAAAGGAGGAAGAATCTTCGACTTGGCCTCTGGCCTCCACTGGTACCTGTATGCAAATAAACGTGTGTCCGCCCACCTATGCAAACACACACACACACACACACACACACACACACACACACCCCCCGCAACACTAAAATAATAATGACAAAACAAAACAAACCAAACCCAGCTAGGCTTGGAGAAATGTTCTCGGCTGTTAAGAGTGCTTGCTTTAGAGAAAGAGAGAGAGAGAGAGAGAGAGAGAGAGAAGAGATTGACTACCAGTTCACTAATTTCCAAATGTTTCTAAAACAAACGAACGAACGAACGAATTTGTTTTGCGTTTGTCTAACCCTTTCACTATCTCTCTAGTTTTCCTTTCAAAGCAAAGCCGCGTAGAGATTTGTCCCTCTGCCCTCACTGTAGACGTAGGTGGTTTCTCATTGGCTGATCTGCGTGACGCCATATTTCCGCGCTCTGGCGTTCTAACCTTGAGCGCGTGTTTGTGTTTCCAGCTTTGGGTGGCTGTCTCAGCACAGGCTGTAATCACCGATGGCTCAGCAGCCCCTGCGTCTGTGAGTTATCTTGCATCGGAAGACTCAGGAACCTAGCGGGGAAAGGAAAAGGGGAAGAGAGGCAGTCGTAGAAGCGGGGGTCTAGACCGGAAAGGGAAGACGGAGGGGAGGTCGCTTGGCTGCTGGGAGCTGGAATCGAGGCTTCCTGCGCTCCTCCTGTCGTTTTTCCACCCTAGTGTCTTCAGAGTCTCTCCGGGAGAGATAAAAACTTGCGAAGCCAGACTTCGTGTTTTTAGGCCTACCCAGCCTGCTGCAAATCATTTCCCTTTCATTTCTCCCCTCGTGGCATTTATTGATTAGCCAAATACTTGGAGACATCGGGTGCACTGATGGGTATTGACAGACAGGATAATCATTGTTCCTGTCCCGGCGTACTTTTGTGGCGTGGTCGATTAGCGAAGACAAGAATTTATTCAGAAAGATGACTGAGTAGCGGTAGTGTGTCCTGCATGGTGGCAAGCGTTACACAAATGAGTTTCTTCCTTGATAGCTGATAGTTTCGACCAGAAGAACAGGTGTCAACAAATGTGGAAAATGTAGAGAAAAGGTTGACGGTTCTGGAGGATATATGATGATACTTGACTTAATGAAAGGCATTAAGGCTTTCCTGAGAACGTGAAGATTTAACTCTGGTAAATATTGTCGTTATCCCAGAGAAGTCACTGAAATGTTTAATAGCTCCTTAGCGTGATCCAGTTTTCGTTGTGGAAAGTGATTCTGTTTGAATGGTGGGAAACCAATCAGAGCCAAAGTAGAAGGAAGCTAGGATTAGTTAGGATGATGGCAGAGGGAAAGTTCAGGAATTGATGGTTTATTGAACAGGTGCAGTCAGTAGGGCTTGGTGGTGTTTTGGTTGTAAGGAATTCCCACTGTAAGGTTACAGATTTCCATCTTAAATCATTGGGATCAGAAAACACTGTAAAAGGACCTACACCAGATAATGAATATTGAATGTGCCTCCTAGGAATTGTTAGTCAGTGGGGATTGAAAAGATTTCTAGAGGCGCTTAGAGAATAAATCAGATTGCTTAATCGTTATGGCAGAGTTTGTTCTGAAATGGCACATTTTGAGATTTTGAGAAAGAGTGGCTATCTCAGCTCACCAGGAATGCTCCAGAGATTTACTCGGCCTTGGTGAATGGGAAAGGCTTTGAGGATGAGTGCAGAGGGGCTGTTAGGACAGAGAACTTTCTTAGAGAATAGCAGAGACAGAGAGTTATCTGTTGGAGAGAGTTCAGTTAGGAAAACTAAAAGAAAGCACTGGAAAGATGGGCTAGGACCTGAGGAAAACTTGCTACAAGAGATGGTTACCTTGCAAGACCTGAGGAAGGAGCATTAAGCCGATGGTGGTATGTGTAATGAACAAAGGTACTGGAGGATCTGTAGCATCTGCCTTGGATCCTGGACCAAGGCTGTTAACCAGGCTGTTGGATTCTGCTTCTGCCGCATCACAACTCTCAGTTGCTCAGCCTTGTTTCCTTCCGTTCCTACTTCCCCCTCGTTTCCCTTCCTACTTCCTTCATTAGTTTGTGTTCAGACTCTTTAAGTTTTCTCATCTGATTTTCTCTTCCTGTGTTCATTAGCCATTGTTCTTGTCTACACTTGGGTTGTAGCTAACCGTTCCTCTAGACCATCATCCCTGTTATTAAAAGTATTGATGAAGCATGTACAATCATATCACTAAGCTGCTTGAAAGTGTTCATTGGTAGGAGCAATAAACACCAGGGAGACATACTGAAAAACAATAGAAACTGTAGTTTTTTGAATCAAAAGACATTAAGAAAATAAAGGGCTGGTGAGATGGCCCAGAGGGTCATCTTGCCAAGCCCAATGCCCTGAGTACAATCCCTGATGACACACATGGTGGGAGGAGAGAACTAACTCTCTGGTTCTCCTCTGACTTTCACATGAGCGCTGTGGCACACTATGCCCTCCCCAATAAAATACCTCCTCCAACGTAAAAACAAACAACAAACTATGTAAGTTAGAACTCAGGACAAGTCACTTGACAGCTTGAGGTAGTCCACCTTATCATCCTCAGCTCTTGTCATTTCCTCTTCCAGCTCCCTAACACTAGGCTATCTCCCGTCATTGTTTCTTCCATATACAGTCATGATGGGAGCTTCCTTAAGTAAACTCTCTGAGACTTTACAGTAGTCTTCCTCCTGTTGTAATTCTAGCATGTCTTTAGGGTAGCATTTGGCACATTGAACTTTGCATAGTGTAGTTGTTCAGTTTGTGTTCCCTGGATGATGACTAGAGAGCTGTGTAGTGGGCACAGTGGTGGAAGTAAGAATAGAATGGTTATGAAAACTGTTTGGAGAAAAGACTTGCTTGACTTGTTGACTCTTAGTTAAATAAGGGACTTGTTGACTCTTAGTGACCATGTTAGTGATAAGCCTATCCACAAATCTTGGGAATGAGACGGAGCTGGCTCAGTTTTGAAGAAGGAAGAGCTAAATTTTAGCTATGGTGAGTTGAGGTGTTGGTGAGATCTCCGGGAAGATCCACCTGTTGGCTAGTAAGAGTTGAAATATGCCAACAGTAGAAGATACCTGCAGAGACTGTGCCATGTCTCTGTTCCAGAAGACAAGTACATGTATGCCAAGCCTAGCAGATCTTTGTGGTTCCTGAATTGCTATAATGTTTATCTCTTGTTCGCAGCTTGGCTTGTGGAGATGTTGAAGGAAAGTTTGATGTTTTATTCAATAGAGTTCGAACAATTCAGAAGAAAAGTGGGAATTTTGACGTAAGTTGACCATTCTTACTGATACTTTACTACTCTAATCAAACATTAAAGTGGGGGATCCTTTGATAATTTCGTGGTTGACTCTCCCTTTTGTTGTTAGGTTGAATTTATTTATTTTTGATATGAACTTAGTAACTGTGGACTGACAGACTGATGGGAAAAGGAGAGCTATTTACTGTCCACTTTTTTTTACACTGTTTGAATTTCAGTCTTGTTACTGTCTTACTGTACCAAAACCCAAACAAGCAAACAAACTGAACAGAACCAGGCGGTTCTGACACCTGGGTTTGGTAAGCACAGATCTACTTCATGAGTGTGTGCTATGGATTAAATCGGGTAACAGATGTGCAAATGCTTTACAAGAGAAAGAACTGGAAATGAATGTTGTATATGATTGCCAAGTAGATTATGAGTCCTTAGTGAGTGTGGGGAGAATTTGTTCATTATGTTAAAGGTTAGTAAAAACAGTGGGAGGCAAATGTGGTGTTCTTAAGCTCCTTGTTTCTGAAGTCTAATATTTAAGTTTCATCTTTCACAGAGGGATTCTTTAAACCACTGTGTGTTCCCGGGAAGGAGGCTAGAGAGGCCCTGGGAATCTTTGGAAAGCACTTTAATTCTGCCTTCTCACAGTTCATACTCCTCACTCTCCCCCCGCCCCCAACTTAGATTTGGTTGTCAGTGCATTGTAGTTTGATTATTCATAGGTTTATCAGTTAACTGTTGTTAAAGATGTTTTCAAATTCTACAAATCGAAGAATAAATACTTGGTTTGAGACTACTAAGTAGAGTAGTTGACTGGTTATCACAGTCAATAATGTGCTGTTTAATTTATTGTTTTAATCTCATATATCTTTAAAAAACTCATTTTAGCTGCTGTTGTGTGTAGGAAATTTCTTTGGCTCTACCCAAGACGCTGAGTGGGAGGATTATAAGACTGGCAACAAGAAAGGTACAGAAATTATTTTTCTTTAATGTATGATTTCTAACCAAATGTCAGGGGCTGTAATTGTTGGGTTGCTTTTCACATATTAGTTGTTGAAGATTTCTTAGCTGCTTTCAGAGAGTTTCTCTCTTGCCCTTGGTGGTGCATGCCCGTGGTGCTAACACTTGAAAGGCTGAGGTAGAAGTATCATAAACCCAGGACAGGCCAGTTTGGCCTCCTTGTCTAGACTGTTTAAACAAAGCAAAAATAACAAAAAGTAGTATGTCTCTTTTGAACTCTGCATCGAGTAAAAGAGAATGCATATGTGTAATCCATTTTTTTCCCCACATTTTGAATTTTGTTCAGTTTCATTCTACCAAAAGAATACTCACTTAGATTGGCAAGAATTGAAAAGTGGAACTAGCATACCCTTTCATTGTTTTCGGTTTTCGAGCTTTTTCATGAAGTGCTTTTTAAATTTTTTTCTTTATTTCTAGAGAGCTAATTTCTTAGCTCACTTTTTAAAAAAAAGATTTATTTATTTTTATGTACATTGATGTTTTATCTGCATATATATCTGTGGGAGGGTGACAAATCCTCTGTAACCGGAGTTACAGACAGTTGTAAGCTACCGAATGGGTGCTGAGAATTGAACCCGTGTCCTTTGGAAGAGCAGATAGTACTCTTAACTGCTGAGCAATCTCTCCAGCCCTATCAAGTGCTTTTATTAAAATATTACTATTAAATTTTGTAAATTTTATAAAATTATAAAATTTTATTAAAAGTACATTGACAGTGTACTTTAAGATGGTAATTCATTAGCCTAGTAATATTGTTTAGTAAGTACTCAAGCCACCAGGGTTGAATTAGGAATCCTCAGTGGTGAGCATGTTCCACATTTAGGATCGCTGTGGAAGGAACTCTTCACTCTTCTTGTGACTGTTTTACTAATGAGGAAACATTTCTGGAACGTCAGAGCAGATCCAGTAACCATATGGTGCTATGTCTGTTTCCCTCTTAGCTCCTATTCAGACGTATGTGCTTGGTGCCAACAACCAGGAGACAGTACAGTATTTCCAGGATGCTGATGGGTGTGAATTAGCTGAAAACATCACTTACCTGGGTGAGTTAGTATTTGTTGTTGGTAATGACTTTAGTAAAATATTTCCAGGGATTAGTCTCTCAGGAGGAGTTTTGACTGGATCCTTCTGCCATTACTGCTTGACAAAGTTAGGAGTTAGTTTTGTTTTTCCCTCTGGGGAAGGTTTTCCCTCTAAGTCTGCATCTGTACCCTTTGGACAGTGATGTTTCTTCTTCTTCAGTTTGCTGTTCCCCTAATCTTGTATTCCTGTAGCCCTGTGCACGCTTTCTCCGCCAGCTGGAGTGGTCAGTGCCCTGCTCACAGTGTGTGGAGAACTCGGAGCACACATTCCGTCTTTCCTGCAGGATTTGCTGCGCATATACCTTCCTTGCTGATTTAGCAAACTAGCTTTACTCTAGGCTTCAGTCTAAGGCTTTGGCTACTCGAATTTTTAGTGTTCCTGCTCGGGCTTTTTCATTCCTTTTGTCTTTTTTTCCTATTTCAGGGCCTCTCTAATTCTAAGTTAAAGCTGTTCATAGCCCCCTGCATTTCTCCAGTGTCAGGATGAAGGCATCTGTCAAGTTCTACTATTGGTCCCTCCCCACCCTCTCCTGTTTGTTTACTGTGTCCTGGATCATTCATGTTATTGCTTTCTAAAATGCGTTCTTCACATTTCTTTGTGGTCTTGTATCTCTAGCTAGCTTCTGTATTTTTTTGTTAGACCTGCCCCACTTCAGCCTTCCCACAGTTTGTCATTGCCTTCAGGCCTGCTATGGCCCTCACAGGAGCAATTTCAGCTTTCTTCAATCCCATGAAATCATTTAGTCAAATTGTTGAGGAAAACATTTTTTTTTACATGATTTAAAGTTTATTATATTATTTTTTGCATTACTGGAGATTAAACCGGGATCTCATACATTTGCTAAGTCTGTGCTCTGCCTCTGAATTGTTGCTATAGTCCCCATGCTTTTTGTTTTTAAATTTTTCACTATTATTAGTTATGTGTGTGTACATACATTTGCCTAATGCAAGTGTGGTAATCAGAGGACACCTTTGGAGTTGCTTCTCTTCTCTCACCTTTATGTGGCTTCTAAAGATTGGACTCACACTTTTAGACTTGCAGAGCAAACACCTTTCCTTGAGCCACCTCAAAAAAAAAGAATTTATTATTATTTTCTGTGTATGGGTGTATTGCCTATATAATATATGTGTATGTTTGTACCACATGTGTGCCTTGTGCTCTTGGAGAGACTTTTGTGTTAGGAACCACACCCACATGCTCTGAAAAAGCAGCAAGTGCTCTTCGTGGCTGAGCCCTCTCTCTAGCCCTCTGCATAGTGGTTATTAGCTGCTGTGAAGCAGACATTGTGAAATCACTATCATTTGTTAGTGATATGCACGCGGGACTGACTTGTCACCATCAGTGTGTTTTTCTGGTTTGTATAAGAACACTGTTGTATTTGCCAACCATTTTATTAGGCGAATTCCACTGAGCCACGTCTTTCAACTGTGATCTTGTTGGTGGGCCTGTGATAGCCTGAAACACTCCAGCTGTGTGTAATTTGATAGTTCTTTCTCTCGTACATCCATTGGTATCAAATTTGGGGAGTTGGTACTATAAAGATAAAAAATAAAGCTGCCTAAAGGGTCAAGCTGTTGAGGAAGTAGAGTGAGGGGAAGCAGGGAGATAATAGTAGCCCAGTAAGAGGCTGTCATGTGGGGTGGGGGGAGCAGGTAGGTGCTGGAGAACAGGTCAGTGTGCAAACCCTGTCTGTTTCAGTCAGTGACCAGCAGCCACCACTTCAGAGCTGCTCAAACTTTATGGAATAGGAATATTGTCAGAACCAGGCAGTCTGGGCCCCTCGGAGCCAGGTGGGGCTGTAGGAGTCACACTCCTTCAGGTGTGTAGAAAGGGAGAGAACCAGGGGATGGAAGCATGGGGAGAGAGAGCACATTTCCTTCACAGTTTTGACTAGAACTCATTCATTTTTCTTTGGACCCAGGTCGAAAAGGTGTCTTCACTGGAAGCTCGGGACTGCAGATTGCCTATCTCAGTGGGACAGAGTCCTTAGATGAGCCAGTCCCAAGTTACAGTTTTAGTCCCACGGATGTGTCTTCTTTGAGAACAATGCTGTGTTCGGCATCCCAGTTTAAGGGTGTTGATATCTTGCTCACGTCCCCGTGGCCCAAGTATGTGGGGAGCTTTGGGAATTCTTCTGTGAGTAGTGCTTGTTCAGTTGAAAATTTTAAAGCAAATTACACTGGTTTAAGTTGGGTCTTTAAAGTTTTTCTCTTTACTTTGAATATTTTAACTCATAGTACTTTTTCCTAGAATTGTTTTGTGAAAACTTTCAAGATTCTAAAAGCTACATCTAATGACAAACAGAAGTTGATCTCATAAAAATATAGTTTACAGATGAGATTTCTGAATCATAATTACAAGTGACTGGTTTTTGAAATTGTGTTTTCTAAAAGTATCCTCCTTTTACTTTTTTCTTTATGCATTTTGCAAGTTTATTAATTCCCAGTGGGAAGATTTACAGCTGTTGGCATCTCTCCAGTTGCATTTACTTATCCCTTTTCATTCCAAAATATTGTTTTTTGGCTATCAAAATATATTGTAAAATTGGGTCATTGTAACACTGTGACAGTTATGTAAATACCTACAGATGGGAAGAGCAAGGTGCTGAATATGAAATCTCTGGTAGCAACACTAGCATAGGATGCCCTGGAACCTACCTAAGTATTTATAGCCTTGAAAAGGGGCTGCTACCAGTAAGCTATGACAGATAGATGTAGTCTAAGGGAGACCCTGGAAAGGTGTAAGGTCAGAAGCTCAGCTGAGCCTCATTGGAGGGAAAGGTAAGACTGAATTTGAGAATAAGCCCTCCCAGTAGATTTAGCAGGGTGGCCTTGTGTGCTAGTCCTTGCTGACTCAGCACTAAGTGTCCATGACCATAAAAGTCAGCAAGATGGCAGGCACAGCCAGGAGGATGGTGAAAGGAAGAGAGCCTAACATCTCCTTCTGCTGACCTGTGGTTATTCTGCTTCTACAAAGGAAGCCCCTTACTTGGGGGAGAGCTAAAATCAACGGAGGGGGGAACTTTGGTCAAAGTTTATAAATAACCATATAAATTTTTTTGTTGTTGGTTTTTGCTTTGTTTGTTTCTTTTGAGACAGAGTTTCTCTGTGTAACAGCTCTGACTGTCCTAGAACTCACTGTATAAGCCAGGCTGGCCTCAAACTCACAGAGATCCACCTGCCTCTGCCTTTCAAGTGCTGGGATTAAAGGTGTGTGCCACCATGCCTGGCTCATATAAGATTTTATGGGAAAGAAAATGATACAGTTAGCTAGTCATTGTGATGCTGCTGCTAAGTTCAAGGTCAGTCACCCACCTTTTAGCAATAACTTGAAGAAGGAAAGAATCAGACAAAAGCTAGGAGTGTTCTAGGAGCAAGTCTACCATAACAGAATGTCTTTATTTGCAAGCCTCTGTTTGTTTTATTTTGTTTTATCTGAGACAGTCTCTGTGTAGCCCAGGCTGTCCTGGAACCTGCTATGTAGACCAGCCTGGCCTTGGACTAAGAGATCTGTCTGCCTTTCTCAGATACATAGGTACCCTTTAAAGCATATTTATGGAGACATAATTTATAGGCTGTAGGGAGAGACCTGTCTTCAGAAGGAGCTCTTAGTGAGTGTTTTAGAGGTCATTATGGAGGGGTTGCCTTGCCTTGTGTCCACTGATTTCCAACAGTTGTGCTGCTTCTGCAATTGTAGTAGTCCGATACTTTTATGTGTTTGATTGCCCTAGGTATGCAGTTCACTGCAAATCCTGCAGTCCACATTTGTATCTGTGTATGGATTAGAAAGATAGTTCAAAATGCTTTCTTGTTTCTTTGTATTTGTTCATAATTCCTGAGTCTGTGTTGATAATCAGGTTCCCATTTACTAGGGAGGAGTGGATACCAAAAAGTGTGGCTCAGCTTTGGTCTCCAGTCTTGCCGCAAGCTTGAAACCAAGGTATCATTTTGCTGCTTTGGAAAAGTCGTATTATGAGAGACTTCCATACCGGTGAGTAACATCTCCGGGGTCTTCTCTACATCATCGTGTTCACTTTTAGCTATATGTCTTGGTTCCTTCTAGTACTAAGGCACCAGAACAAGTGATTGACTGTATTGTATTAGCTTAATTTTTGTTGTTGTGGTAAAATCTCTTGGCCAAAAGCAACTTTAGGAAGAAAGGGTTTATTTCAGCTTATAATTCCAGGAGAATACACCATGGAGGGGACACATGGCAGCAGGTGCAGGGAGCTGGCTGATTACATTTTATCTGCACATAGGAAGCAGAGAGAGAGACCAGGAAGTGGGCCAAGGCTCTAAACCTTCAAACCTCGTGACATACTTCCTCCAACAAGGCTCCTCCTTCCAAGGTTGCCCAAATAGCTCCACTAAGCGTTAAACACATGAGTGTCTGGAGGACATTTCCTATGAGACACCACCCTCATTAGTCATTAATTTTCTCTTTGTTTCCTAATGAAATAAAAGAGTTTAGACTATGACCTTAAAAGCTTAGGGTCTAGGGCTGGAGAGATGGCTCAGCAGTTAAGAGCATTGTCTGCTTTTCCAAAGGTCCTGAGTTCAATTCCCAGCAACTACATACTGGCTTACAACCATCTGTAATGAGGTCTGGTGCCCTCTTCTGGTCTGCAGGCACGCACACAGACAGAATATTGTATACATAATAAATAAATAAATGTTTATTTATTTATTTTTTAAATAGATTTATTTATTTATTACATACACAGTGTTCTGTTTTACGTGTATGCCTGCTGGCCAGAAGAGGGCACCAGACCCCATTACAGGTGGTTGTGAGCCACCATGTGGTTGCTGGGAATTGAACTCAGGACCTCTGGAAGAGCAGCCAGTGCTCTTAACCTCTGAGCCATCTCTCCAGCCCCATAAATAAATATTTAAAAAGAGACTTTTATTTAAAAAAAAAAAGTTTAGGGTCTACCATTACAGTACTGGGTAGTCATTGTCGATCATTAGGTCCTGTTCTTGTTGGTTTTGGTGATTTGTTTTCTTCTTTTTCTTTGTTCGTTAGTTTTTGTTTTGTATTGTTTTTGAGACAGGGTCTCTCTATGTAGCCCTGGCTGTCCTAAAACTTAATGTGTAGATCAGGCTGTCCTCAAACTCACAGAGATCTACATGCCCCTGCCTCCTGAGTGAGTGCTGGATTAAAGGTGTGCGCCACCACCATCCAACTCACACTTTTAAACATAGGTTTTAGAGAAAACGTATTTATTTTTCTGAGTAGTTTCTCTTAACATAATGATTTCTAGTTCAGTCCATTTCCTTGCAAATGTCATGTTTTTGTTTTTATTTATGGCTGGAAATCCCATTGTGTATGTTCATTATTTTTAAAATCCATTCATCTGTTGCACAGTCAGGTAGTTCTGCTATCCCAAGTGAAGAGTGTACCAGGAACTGCGGATGTGGACGTGTGAATGAAAGCCCCGTAGCACTTGAGGGTCATATGGTGGCTCTGCCTGGCCTGTGAGAGGCCTCCTCGTGCTGCGCCATTCACTTTCCTACCAGCAGCAGTCAAGGGCTCCCTTTTTCCTGTCCCTCATCACTATCTGTAGTCTCGCTTAGGATGACATGAAAGAAGGAGGGGCTACTTGAGGGAAGGAAGAGAACCAGGGCAGGTGGTAAGGGGAAGGTCATGAATTAAAGCAAAGTATAAAGGTTCATATATGAAAATGCCATAATGAAACCCATTGCTTTGTAAAATAGAATAGAGTGACCAAGATCTGTTATTTTTCATATACATTTTAGAAACCATGTTGTTCTACAAGAAAGTGCACAGCATGCCACCCGCTTCATAGCACTGGCAAATGTTGGGAATCTGGAAAAGAAAAAGGTAAAGATTTGGATGTTTGTTGGTTACGCTTCATCATCTGCTTGGAAAATGTTTTTCCTTTAGTTTGGCATTCAGATCTTCTGGGCATTCCCAGCAGCTTCAGCAACTCCTTTGTAAAGGCAGGTTTTCTTGACTGCTTTGTAGGAGGTCTGGGAGAAAGGCCTGGCTCCCTGGGATACAACAGACTAAGAGACTGTTTGTTACTTTCCATCCACATCCATGTGGTTGCCTCTGTTGGTGCATGCGTTTGCCCTCAGATGAAATGCTTACTTGTTTTTAGCATATCCTCTCAGGAATATTCTTAAAGTTTGGTACAGTGGCGTATGCCTTTAATTCCAGCACTTGGGAGGCAGTGACGGACAGATCACTGTGAGTGCGGGGCCAGCCTGGTCTACATAGTGAGTTCCAGGCCAGCCGAGGTTACAAAGTAAGACCTTGTCTCAAAACAACAGCATCAGCAAACAAAATGAAGCGTGTGTGTATGTGTGTATATTAAGCCTTCCTAGGTTTTTGAATTATTAGTTATACCTGGAATCTCGAAAATAGTGCAGATGGGAAAAAAATAAATCAGTAAAGTAGGTGGTATGCTTCACTTCTCTGGGAATGTTTTGATAGTGCTAAAAATTAGACTGCTGAGTGAGACAGCTAAAATCAAAAGCAGTCCAATGAGAAAATAGGCAGAATAACCTTTCTCTCTAACCTTCATAGCATGTTATCGACAGTGTTTAAAAGGTAAGTAGCCTCGCGTTCACTCCCTATGTTTTGAGCTTTGCAGCCTGTTCCTGACAGGTGTAGACTAGTGTTATAAGCTGACCTTTCAGGCTGAGCAGTGCTTTGTGATTCAGGCTCTCTCAGTCTCAGAGATGCACAGGTCTTAGTCAAAACTGCGCAGTTTTAACTTCAAAGCACTATTGGTCTCAAAATTTTGTTCCAGTCTATATCCTTACCAGCTGAGCATGTTTTTCTTTACTTTTCTATACTCCGAATAGTACCTGGTTTTCCCCAATACAGTTAAATGGGAGGTAGGGTATCCTTAAATGTTTTATTTCCCATATTGTGTTGAGGCAAAGCATATATTCATGCCTAAAGTTTTCTATCTGACGCCATTAGCCCAAGATTTATAAAGTGTATATGACTTATCCTCTTGTTTGCTGCTAGTCTGCAAGGAAATGCACCAGCATATGTGTGAATTGTGTAGTGTCGGAGAGGAAGGTTTACCTTGTCCAGTTGGGTTGCTCATGAAGAACATGGAAAGGGAGTGTCACGATTCTGTTGACAAAGTCCACATAAACAAAAGATGCAGTGACAGAACAGAGTTTGTCTTCAAGGCTTACAAAACAAGTCCCCCTGAGCCTTGTAGTGAGATTGTCATTGTTCCCCTTAGTGAAGGACCTAGTCTGTTTAAGGGCTGGGGCTTTGATTTGTAGCTCATTACTCTGTGAGCCCTCATCAGTCATGGCAGAGGCCACCGGGATGGCCTTTGCTACAGTACTGTGTATTCTCAGAGCCACAAACAGGCTTATGATTTTACTTATGTCAGAGGCGTTCTGTGAAATTGTCGTTATAAGCTGGTTGATTATAGTGAGACAAACAATATTTTCCCTAACTTTATGTTCTTTTTTTCCTGGAGTATCTTTATGCATTCAGTATTGTTCCCATGAAGCTAATGGCTGTAGCAGAACTGGTGAAGCAGCCTCCAGACGTCACTGAGAGTCCCTACCGGGAGTCTGGAAAGGTCGCAGCTGGAGGAGGACAAATTCCTGCCCCTCAGGTGAATTCTTTCTGTGGTTGGGGTTCAGGGCCAGGTTGTCCTCAGCTGTGCCTTTCCTGACTACAGTTTCATATACCAAAAAAGATCAGTTTTAGACTTAAAATGATTTTCCTCTTGGCAAATCATGATAATATTTAGAAAATCCTAATAGATTGTAATTAAGCTCAATTTTTTAATTGTATTTTGAGGTTAGCAGTTCATTGTTGAGCCTTTGCCCAAGTTGATTCATATTGTTTTCCCTTGTCTGAAGTTTATTATTCTCATTTTTTCAGGCAAAGGTCCATTGCTAGCAGAGATTATGATTTCTGTAATGATTTCTAGTAGAGAACTTTGCTATAATGATTTCTAGTAGAGAACTTTACTTTAATGAAGTTTCTCAGTAGCAGAACTTTAGAAATTAGCTTTTCCCCCGCTAAAGCAAGGACAATCAGGTTTTCATGTCAGGATGCACGGTCTGCTTTCTTGGACTTCTCTGTCCACTCAAAACCACTTTTCTGCCTTCTCTTTTTAACCTTTGCTCCTTTGACCTTCTCGTCTCTTTCATTGAAGTTGGATCGGACTTGTTTCATGTCTGAAATTTTAGAACTTCTATGTGTCATTATTGGGAGAGAGGGGAAAATGCAATGGGTTCATACTGCTCTGGTCTGGGGAAGAATTGCTCTATGCCTTGTATTGCAGAGGAGATAAATGTGCTGGTGGTTGGGTAAGGATGCTGAGATATGGGACTGGGAGTCGAGGTGTTAGAATTGGAAAGATACTTCTCTTCCCCAGACTAGGCAGGGCAGGGCTGAGAGGAAACAGATGTGAGTTGCAGGAAAGTTCCTTATTGTTTGGTGGTCAGTTACTGTATAAAGGCTGGCTGAATAATATGCTTTTCCCCATTGGCCGTTCCAGGAAGAATCTGCCTGTCAATTCTTCTTCGATTTGAATGAAAAGCAGGGAAGGAAACGGTCATCCACAGGCAGAGATAACAAGCCTCCTCAGGCCAAACAGCCACGCAGGCCTCGTAAGTACTTTGGACTCCTTGGGAGCAGTAACTTTTTTGGAGGGTGGAGGATTGTTTGGAAAGAGGCATTGCTAAGAGCATCTTCTAGCAAAGAAAAGTTTTATGGAGCTATTAGGAGCAAAGTGAAAACAGAATAGTATAAACAACCTGACTTTGAGGCTGCTTGAGACTCTTCCTATAAGAATATAGAGAAAGCTCCTTTTGTGTCTGTCAAACATGGTGATGTGTGAGACTGAGATGAGTCATAAAATAATAGAATAATCAAACTTAGAGGAAGGACAGTCAGGCTAGCTTTCATTGAGGTTCTCTTTCTTGCTTTCTTTCTTTCTATCTTTCTTTCTTTCTCTTTTTCTTAAAGATTTATTTATTTATTATATATACAACATTCTTTCCATGTCTGCCTGCCTGCCAGAAGAGAGTACCAGGTCTCATTATAGATTGCTGTGAGCCCCCATGTGGTTGCTAGGAATTGAACTCAGGACCTCTGGAAGAGCAATCAGTGCTCTTAAGCTCTGAACCATCTCTCCAGCCCCTGAGGTCCTCTTTCTTCCCTCTGTTACTTTAAAGAGTTGAATCTGATCTTAGGAAGGTAAACCTATGGTTATGTAGCTGGCTGATGTCATAGCTGGGACTAGAATTGGGGTGTCTGACAACCCCCACCAGGTCAGTGTTCTCTCGTTATAGCCTATTGCCCGTTGCATGCTGCTTTAGTCAGTATGTAATGATCTGTATGTGGATCATGTACCTGTGGATTATCAGTTCAGAAGGCTTCAAATAGTGGTTTAGTTTCATTGAAAATGGCGCCAGGCATTGGGTATTCAGTGCTTTGCAATCTTTGCAGTATGTATAGATCAGACAATGACGAACAACAGGGAAATCTCTATTTAAAGTTTTTATTATTGTTGTTGTTGTTGGAATATGTGAGTGTGCATGCATGCCAGCTGTGGCATGTATGTGGAAGTGAGAAAACTCTTCTCACTTTGGGTTTGGTTGTGGAACTCAAGTCAGGTTTGTGTGGCAAGCACTTTTACCTGTCAAGCCATCTTGCCAGCTACAAGGGTAAACTCTATAGGGTGAGGATTATGTCTGTTGTGATTGGGTCATAACAACACTTGGCTTTCTTTCTTATGAAGCTCAGCCTCCAGGACCTTGTTGGTTTTGCCTTGCCAGCCCTGAAGTGGAAAAGCATTTGGTGGTCAACATTGGCACACATGTGAGTTACTTCCATAGATTGGTAGCAGAGAAGAAATGTCTATTACTTGGTTTTTTACTAACTTTGCATGGTGTATAATTTACTTATCAAATTTACTCTTTTCTTTTCCCTCCCTCCCTCCCTTCCTGCTTTCCCTCTCTCTCTCTTTCTCTTTCTTTCTTTCCTTCCTTTTCCCCTTTCCCTCCTCTCCTCTTCCCTCTCCTTTTCCCCTCTCCTGTTCTCTAGGGTCTCTCTACATAGCACTGACTGTCCTGGAACTCATTGTGTAGATTAGGCTGGCCTCAAACTCAAACTCACAGAAATTCTCTTCCTCTTCCTACAGGTGCTGGGATTAAAGGTGTGAACCAGCACACCCAGTAAATTTGCCCATTTTAAGTGTATAATTTATTGATATTTTAGTAAGCTTTTTAAATCATATAATCATCACATAGTATAGGTTTAGATGCCAGGTGTGATGGTACACACCTTTGTAGTAGGAGGCCACTTGTTTGCCACCCAGACTCCCAAAATAATCACACAGAAACTATATTATTTAAATCACTGCTTGACCCTTTAGCTCTAGATTCTTATTGGCTAACTCTTTCATCTTAATTTAATCCATTTTTATTAATATGTGTTTAGCCACGTGGCTGTGACTTACCGGGTAAAGTTCCAGCGTGTCTGCTCCCAGCAGCAGCTTCATGGCTTCTGCTGACTCTGCCTTCTTTCTTCCAGCATTCAGTTTAGTTTTCCTTGCCTACCTCTGTTCTGCCCTGCACAGATCTAAGACAGTTTCTTTATTAATCAATGTTAATCACAGCATACTGAGGGGAATCCCACATCACCTCCCCTTTTATGTTTTAATAAAAAGGAGGGTTTTAACTTTAACATAATAAAATTACATATAGCAAAATAGGTGTCAAGCAAGAATTAGTTACAATATTTATATCTACTTTATCTTTTATCATAACTAAGGAAAACTATAACTATATATTTTTCAACTCCATCAAAGACTACAGAAGGATATAATATTACCTAAGTAAACAGGACGTGTATTGTAAGTAACTTCCAAAACTCTAGAATTGACAGAGACATCTCACTGCCTGAACAGTCATCCAAAGTTCTTCTGTATCATTGGGCATCCATCTTCAGCCTACTGGCCCATAGTATCTGGCAGACTTTTCCATGAAGCAGGAAATTTCAAAGACAGTTCTGCCTGTATTGACAGTTTGTCAGTCACTTTCTTCTGTGTCCTGCAGAATGTCTTGCAGTTCCAACACTCTGGAGGCAGAGTTAGGTAAATCTCTTGAGTTCAAGGCCAGTCTGCTCTAGTTCATAGCAAGTTCCAGGACAGTCAGGGCCACACAGACCCTTGTCTCAAAGAAAGAAAATATGAGACCAAATAGAGGTTTAAAACATTTCTATCAGTTCAGTAAAATTTCTTAGACATTTATAGTAATCTCAGTTTCTATCTTTAGCCTTGGCCATGTCTTGTGTCTTTTTAGGGTTGTGGGGTTTAGACATTTCATTGAACTGAAACCATATAATAATGCTTTTTGTGTCTTCTTTGACTAGCATAAAAGGATCTTAGGGTTCATCATATTGTATTCTATGTATAAATGTCTCATTCCTTTTTATTGCCAGTTAGTGTCGTATATAGATATATTGTTTTTGTCTATTTACTTATCACTTGATAGACATTTAGTTTGTTAGCATTTTATAACTTTCAGGAATAATGTAATATTTGCATGTGTTTGGGGATGGAAAACATAAAACCGTATATTATTATTTGGCAAATTTGTGTTTAAACTTAAAAGTTTTTTTTTTTTTTGTTTTCAAGACACGGTTCCTCTTTTTAGCTCTAGCAGTCCTGGAACTCACTGTGTAGACCAGGCTGGCCTTGAACTCATAGAGATCCACCTGCCTCTGCATCCTGAGTGCTGGAATTAAAGGTGTGCGTCACTACCACTCAGCCGATATTTTGTTTTTAATCATGTGTATGTGTGTGTTTGGTGGTATTTGTACATCTAAGTACAGGTGCCTGAGGATTCAGGCCTTGAATCCCCTGGAGTTGGAACTATAGGACGTTGTGAACCCCCTGTCATGGATGCTGGGACCTAAACTTTGGTCCTCTGCAAGAGCAGTATGTGCTCTTAACTGCTAAGCTCTCTCTCTCCGTGTCTGTTTTAACTTTTTAAGAAATTGTCAAGCTGATTTCCAGAATGACATTATTTTATGCTCCCACCTGCAACATTAGGAGAGTTTTGGCTTTTCCACATCCTCATTAATATTGCTCAAAGTCTCCCCTCCTTTCTTGATAGTGTTGGAGACTGAACCCAGGGTCTTGTGCATGTTGGGCAAGAACTCTGCTATTGAGATACATCTTTAACCCATTTTCTGCCTTTTTGATTATAGATAGTATAGTTTTATGGAAGCAATTTCACAAGATTCATACGAGATGAATTTTCTGTGTATTTCTTAGATTCGTCTATGTTTCTTGGAGTACTGAGTTGATTTTCTTAATTTCTCACTGTTTTAAATATTTTTATTTTATTTTTATTTTTTTAAAAAAGAAAACAAACTATCTTTTTTCACTATACATACCAATCCAAGTTCCCCCTCCTTACTTTTCTCCCATCTCCTCCACTCCCCCCCCCCGCTGTTTTAAATATTTCTCACTGTTTTCCCTACTGTAAATATTGAGTAGAGAAGGGAATCATGTGTTGCTTATATATTTAACAGATTTAAAATGTAGATATTGTTAACCCAGTGTTGTGGCTCATGCCTGTAATACTAGCACTCAGGAGACTTACTACAAATTCAAGTCACCTGGACTACATAATGAGCTCTAGGTTAGACTGGACTTCAGAGTGAGGCTTTATCTAAAAAATACAACAAAACTACTAGGAAATGAAGTTCATTAAGCATAAGAAAGACTAAAGTGATAAATTCAATTTGGCAGTCAAGGATTTTATTACTCAGGGTTCTCTAGAGTAACAGAACTTATAGGATGAATCTCTCTGTCTCTAGCTATACACGTGTACACATACATATGTATGTATGTGTATACATGCATGCGTGTGTGTATATATATATATAAAAGTATATACATATATTTAAGTATACACGCACGCATATGGTATTTATTAGAATGACTTTCAGGATGTGGTCCAGCTAATCCCACAATGGATGGAAAAGTCTGTTCAGTACATGAGGCTGGATGTCTCAGCTGATCTTCAGTGTATACTGGAATGCTGAAGAAGTAGACTCTAATGTCAGTGAAGGAAGGAATGGACTTGCTAGCAAGCGGAGGGCAAGCAAGCAAAAGTAAAAGCTGCCTTCTTCCATGTCCTTATATAGGCTTCCCGCAGAAGGTATGGCCCAGATTAGAGATGGGCTTTTCCAGCTCCAAAGATCTGGATTAAAGATCTAGATTAAAGGTGTGTCTTCCCAGCTCAAATCCGGATTAGAAGTAGATCTTCTCACTTCAAATTAAGCAGAAATGTGTCACTGGTATGACCCTCATTTTTGGGTTTTAGTTAATTCCAGATGTAGTAAAGTTGACAATCACGCCATAATAAGTATGTAGCTTTGTAACTGTATACCATGGCTGATGTATCTAGGATAAAGATTTTAGTCACATGATTGGAGCACCTTGGATCAGTCTATAGAGCTGATAATCCTGAGTGTGGTGACTAGGCTAGACAAATCCCCGTTGAACATCACAGGTCTTAGGGAAGTCATTCAGTTTCACATTTCTCAGATACTCTTCCTCAGGGGCTTTACTAGAGATTAAATATTCAGGCTCTGTAAAGATAATTGCCTTTTTCTTTTACTTACAGTGAAGCCTGTTTAATCACCAGAGTTTGGCCCCACGACTAGAACTGGATGTTCCCTAAGGCTTGCTTTATGTGTAACGCTTCTGCAGACAGGTGGCGTTCATCTGTTTTTCATTGGTTTCTTCCTGTTTTGGTTTCTAAAGGTGACAATCTGAAAGCTTCTTTCTTTGTGGCCTCCTGTAGAATAGCTGGAGTCTCACTTTGAGTTTTCAGTTCTTTTCAGACTGAGGTGGCACTTTTCTTATTTATGGTTTGCATCGTAATGGTTAGCACTGTCTAGGGAGGTGTTCTGGAGCCAAGGTCTGTGATGCACAGCACAGTTGGCCCTGGAGCCTGTGAATGAAGGCTGGGAACAAACTTGAAGAGCTTTTACTTTTTAGGTGTGCCCTTCTAGATCAGCTTCGGGCTTCCCGTCTCAGGGGATTACTTTATGCCATTCTTCTCTCTCACACGCCCGTAGTGAGGCAGGCTTCAAACTGCTTATGTGATTCTTCTCTAGTGCTACCTCGCCCTGGCTAAAGGAGGTTTATGTGATGACCACGTCCTCATCCTGCCTATTGGGCACTACCAGTCAGTTGTTGAGCTTTCGGCAGAGGTGGTGGAAGAAGTGGAGAAGTATAAGGCTACTCTGAAACGCTTCTTTAAGAGTCGGGGGAAGCGCTGTGTTCTTTTTGAAAGAAATTATAGGAGCCATCATCTCCAGCTTCAGGTAGGTGTTTTCTGCCCGGGAACTTGGAAATCACTTTGGGGACCTTGAGACTGATAAATATCTAAATAGTTCTGACCTTAGTGTTGAATTTTAATGTAATACTTAGAGCATTTAATCTTACTTTCAGGATAATATTCAAATAGTGTTCATTAGAAGGCTAGGGGTATCTGCTGAAACCCCAGAGATTTCATAGGGAAGGTCATACTGGGGTAAGTGACTAGCAGTGTGTGCCTGTTTAGAGAGAGTGGGTAGTTAAAACAGGTTCCACGGCAGCTAGAGACATGGGTCATGCTGGTAAGACATGAATATTTTGTGTGAAAGTCCAGCATGAAGGTTTAGAGGTAGGAAAATAGTTTCCAGCTAGCATGGGTGTAGTCCGCTAGAAGTAGAGTGATTTGTGTTTTTGGTGGTAGTGTCTTCCTGGCACATCTGCTAAGTATTCAGATGGGCCTGACTCTGCCACGTACATTATGTAGGAGCCGGCAGAGTCTTAGGGACAAAGAGTCTCTCTTGAGAGTTTTCTGTTGACAGATTGGCTCCCATAAGTGACTAGCTCTCATAAGTTTAAGTCCTACAGCCAGGCCGATGGAGGCTGTTTGGCCTGAGGAGAATCTCTACTGAGGGGTGGCTCTCCACCCCAGTGATGGATTTGCTCCTTCTCTAAGATTTTAAAGACAGCTTCTTTGAAATCAGTTCAAAGAGTTTCTTTTTTTTCCTCCCACACAAACCCAGGTCATTCCTGTGCCCCTCAGCAGCTGTGTTACAGATGACATTAAAGATGCCTTCATTACCCAGGCACAGGAGCAACAGATAGAGCTGTTGGAAATTCCAGAGCACTCAGACATCAAGCAGGTGAAGCAGGAAGGGTTGGTGATGTTCAGGGAGGAGTTAAGATCTGGGATTTGACAAGGTGAATCAGAGGTACTGTCAAGCTGTTCCAAAAATACGAAATAGTAGAGTTGTTTGGTACTAGAATGCAGGATGTTGATAAGACTAGAGGTGAAGACTTCATTATAACAAAGTCTTAGTGCTTTCCTGGGAAGAATAAGGAGTTAGACATTTCATGGGGTTGGGAAGATGTCTTGGTGAGGACTTAAGTTTGATCTCCAGCAGCCTTGCAAAGGTCAAGTGTTGGGACAGGTGCCTATGATCCAAGCTCCGAGGAGACAGAGACAAGAGGATCTCTGGACAAACTGAAAGGGTGCAGGGTCAGTGAGAAACCTGGCTCAAAATATAAGGTGGAGAGCATTGAAAAAGTCACCCAGTGTCATTTGGCCTCCACAGGCACGTGGTTACACCTACATGTGTAATCACAGACATGAGAATAGGCACACACATTTATAAATACACACGAATTAAATAAACAAAGAAATTAGACACTTGCTAAAATGAGAATTTTGAAGGATGGGTACTACTGGGAATAGATATTGGCTTTTTAAACTCTAGCTCCTATACTGTCTCACTTTTTTTTTTAATTTCTAGACTAAATTCTTTGCTAAATCAAAGTTTGCAGAAGAAGGAGCTTTTTAAATTTGATCTTCTTTGTCTTTATACAACTCTGTTTACTTCAGATTTCTCAGCCAGGAGCTGCGTACTTTTATGTTGAACTTGACACAGGAGAAAAGCTTTTCCACAGAATTAAAAAGAATTTTCCTTTGCAATTTGGAAGGTTTGTATGTTTTTACTCTATTTGGTATGTTTCATTAGACCTATAATAAACACGGTGATAGACTGCATGGGTAATCAATGAAAAGTCAACTAGGGAATGGTCCCCAAGAAGCTTACGGTTTTAGAGCAGATCAGTAATACAGTCTTGTGATGGAGAATTTGAACAGTACCACGATCAAATCTTGAAGAATATTGTACTTTAGAAACTCAGAGAAGGATGGACTCATTTCTGCTCCATGTAAGGCTCCATGAAAGGCCTGTAAGTGATGGTTTAAGAGGTGGACCATAGAGGGAAAAGATGGGATGAGAGCACCTTGTCAGAATAAAGTGCTAGCTTTGAGCGTGTGCTGGGTCAGACACTGGCGGGAACTTCACGTGCCTTATCTCATCTACCTTCCAGTTCTGCTGGTTATATACTGTCAGCCCCATTGCTTGTGTGAAGAGTGATGGTCTGGAGCAGTGCTCAGCAGAACTTCGTACAAATATGGGCATGCTCTGTAAAGCTGCACTAGTACAGTAATCACAAGTTACATGTTGCTGTTGGATACTTGAAAATGGGACTGAGGACCCAGTGAGATGATATTGCTTGCTGCTAAGCCACGTGACTTAGTTTGATCTTTGGAACCTACATGTATGAGATAACTGACTTCTACCCATGTGTTCTCTGACCACACAGGTGCCATGGCACATATGAACCCACACAAATAGATATACATAGTAAAAAAATTGAAAACGGAACTGAAGAACTGAATTCTTAATTTTATTTAATTAAATAGAGCTTAAATTTAAATGGCCACATCTGGCTAGTGGTTACTCTATTGGGTGTAGTGTGCCTTAAGGTGAGTTAAGTAGCATGCCCATGGTCACAGAATTGAAGGTTCAAACCTCAATCTAGTGAAGGTTTGGTGAAAGACCAAGATGAGAGAGGTCTTTAACCTTGCTGTTCTGCATTGTTGTAAGAGCCTGTGTGGAGGGAAGTAGGAAATGCACACAGAGGTGATCTGAGGCTGGTCTCTGACTGCGGCTGTTCTCCAGCCATTCCCAGGGGTTTCCAATAAGCGGTCAGCCACTCTTAGACTAATTTGGAAAGCATCCAAAAGATTGCCCCATTGGATAAGTTTAGAAAATAGAGGTTTTATTTTTTCAAATAGATAATTGATAAATGAGAACAAATATGTTAAATGCTCTAAATATGTGGTTTAATCTTCGTGTTGCCTTTGCAACAGATGTAGATAGGCACATTGGGGACATAAAGCATATGCCAATACACACAACCATGTACAGTCGACAAAATGGTTTGTGATCATGGTAGTTGTTTATGTTTTCAACCCTGAAAATTTTCATAATACTAACATAATTGATAGATTTTATACTTAATAGGGCAAGTGACTCTATCTTCATTTCACATTATGAAGAAACATGCTCAAGGCTTGCCAGGCAAACCAGAATCTGGGCTTAGAACCTTTATCTTTCAGAGGACCGCTGTGATTCACTTTCACCTCTTTATTGTATCTTCAAAGTTGAAATGAGCCAAATAGATTTTTTTCTACTATAGTAAAATAAATTAAAAAATATAAACCATTAGAAATTAGAAGCTGTGTGTATATGTATCTATATAAATTGTTTTCTTCACATTGAATTTCTCTTGATGTACTCAAACAACGCAAGTCACCTAGAAGGATAGGCAGAGGGATTTTAAGTCAGAATGGGCATGATGTGACTCCGAACCATGCCCTCAGCAAACTCACTGTCTCGTCAGACTGCCAGAGCTATATAGTTTAAGACGAGACAGAACAGCTGCTGGGAACGTGCTTTGGTCGTGTGGCTTCTGTACTGTACCAAGTCCTATAAAGAGCCCTCCTGTAGTGAGTCTTAGATCAAGGATTAGAGATGAAGTTGTATTCAAGTCATAGATATCAATTAGCAGAGCTTGGAATGAAATTCGGTCTGATTTTTCTGATGCCTGTTGTCTACTTTGTATGTGGTTTTCCTACCCTGAGTACTAAAACTGTAGTTCTGAGTTGTTCCAGGGAAGGAGAAATAAATGGGGTAGGAGAGGTCACTTAATATGGCAGTGATTTTAATAGAGAAGAAGGCAGAAAATGTCAGTCAGGGCCGGAGAACAGTGCAAGGAGTAAGAAGTCTGCAGACTCCTTAGATGCTACCGAGGAGAGCTGGCTAGAGAGGAACAGGACTGGGTGGGTTTCAGTTGCTCTTCACATTTTCCTTCGTACTCTCTTTGCAGGGAGGTACTGGCCAGTGAAGCCATTCTCAATGTTCCTGACAAGGCTGACTGGAGACAGTGTCAAATCAGTAAGGAAGAGGAGGAGACCCTGGCTCGCCGCTTTCGCAAAGACTTTGAACCTTTTGACTTCACTCTGGATGACTAGGCAAAGGGAAGAACACTTTATGAACTTTACAGGAAATTCTTACATCCTCTTTTTAGAATGAAGCTACAGAGTCTCCCATGGGGGCTGCCTCCCTGCCTCTTTTCCATATTTGCCCAGGAACCTGCCTGCAGCAAGAGGCTTAGGATGGACTTTTTTCTTTTTTCTTTTTTTTTTTAAAGAAGTCATTCTGAGATGCAATTGTATGTGAAAAGAATGTCTGCTCCATATTTCTCAGAACAGCTGTGTTTGTCCACATCTTCACAGACTTTTAACCTTTTGAGGTTGGGTGTGGTTGCTCATGCCTTCTAATAATCTCAGAAATTAAGGAGTTGTGGCAAAAGAATTGTTGTGAACTAAGGCTAGTTTGGCCTACATAGTTCCAAGCCAGTCTGGGCTATCGTGTGAGACACGTCCTAGCCTCCCCACCCCCTCCCAGAAAAGCAAAAATAACCTTCCCCAAATCTTATAAGTGATAAAAAGGAATGCTTTTTTAAGGTTAACAAATGTCTTCTGTTGCTTATCACCCCGAAGTGAAATTATGTGTGTGTGTAATGGAGACCAGAGCTTTTTGCCTAACAGGTATCCCGGAATAACACAGGCAGCTCAGTCTGGGGAATAGAAAACTGTGGCCTTTGCTGTTGCTTTCTCATGGCATCATCTTCACATAAGAGAATCCACTCCATCTCTCTGATGTTTAACTCGGATATGCTGGGAATTTTTCTAAGTTCCAAGAGTCAGTGAATGTCCCAACATGGTACTGACTTGTTTATAGTCTAACTGGGAAAGGAAATGGCAGATTTAATAAAATGAGTTTTTCTTTGAATGTGTTTGAGGTATTTAACATACCTGAGTTACCCAATACATGTGCCCAGATTGCCATTAGGTACTTCTAAAACTCAAGCAGATCGGGATTGGTGATAGGACTTTAAATGCATCTTAGATGTTTAAGATAGCTGAGTTATCTAACAGATGTGTCCAGAGTGCTGTTAGATAAATCTCAAACTCATTGGTGATAGGGCTTTAGGGATCATCAGGGCATAGACCATAGTGAAATTACAAATAAAATAGAACCAGCACAGTCAGTCTCAACCTACAGATATGATTTAAGGACCAGTGGTCCAGTGCACAGTAAGTCCGTGGAGTAGGAGCAGTGTGTCCACAGGAGAATGGTGTGGCTCTGAAGCCGGAAGAGAATAATTGTTCTTCTTTATTGGCCATCTAAGGCCCAGACACACTTTCACTGGGCTCTCACAAAAATCTCTTGACCTCCATTTTGCATATTAGAAAACAAAACAAAATTGAAAAACAAAACAGTCTTGGAAACCTGAAGATTGTGGAGCCTGGGATAAACCATTCTACAATTACAAATAATACAAGGCCTGGTCTTTACTGTTAGCACTCAGCAGGCAGATCTCTGTGAGTTTGAAGTCTGAGCTACATAGTGAGTTCCAGGTCAGACATGGCTATATAGACCCTGTCTCAAAAAAGAAAAAAAAAATTCAAAAAACTTTGAGTTGTGTTTTAAGAATAGAATATTTAAAAAGTGAACTAACTGGAGGAACCAACTTGGGTCGCCTGGTTAACACTATCCTGGCTGTAGTTTTTAGTATCTCCTAATAAAATTAGATCCCTCCTGTGGAGACTGGACACACTCCTGTCATACACAGCAAGTGAGGTTTCACCCTGATATGTGATAGTCTGCTCTACTCTAAGGGATGTGTTCTTGGAGGCTCATTTGATATTACCTTTAAGTCTGATACTCCAATTCCATGGGATACATGAAAATAATAGAACCAACTAATGGGGGAATACCACTCATTAGCAGTGTCCACAACACTAACTTGTATACAGACACTGAGATTTTGATATTGTGCCGAGTTATTAGCATTCCAGCCTGGTGGAGTGCTAGACCAGCCTGGAGTATATGAGACCCTGTCTCAAAACAAAACACCTTGGTTCCTAGAAGCAGATAATCCACTCAAATGGAAAGACGGGTAACTTTCCCTGTGCAATCCACCACTCAGAAGTATGCCTTATTTGAACAAGGGCACCCCCAAACTTGTCTTTGCAGCCCTGTAGGGCACCTCAGAAACAATTCCAAACTAGAACCATTGCGTCGGCAAGTCTGAAACAGAAAAGTTGAGAAGTAGCAAGATTCGCAAGGTCCGATGGGAAAATCACAAGTCCGGAGAAAAGAATCTTAACTCTGGAATAACATCACATGCTTGGGTGCTTTGGGATTATAGGAGAGATTCTGAGCGGACGTGCAGGAGATCACAGTGCACTTTGAAAACTAATGAATCAACGGGCCGGTTAGCGTTGTTTTATTTCATGCTTACGGTGGCTGTTACCAGTAGGTGGTAGGGTTCACAGGGGTAGGGGGCAGAGGGCAGGGCTCTGAAAAATGCGAAATGTGGATGGGGTGAGGACAAACACGAAGTTTGGGGTTTGGGGAGAGAAACCTTCAAAGAACTCATTTAATTACAAACACACACACACCAAAAATCCCACAAACGAAGGCTCTCTCAGTCTGGAAGATGCCCAGGGTACTTAAAAGAGCACAGTGCAACCCGCCCGTGCCCAGCCCATTTGCCAGAACCAATCCCAGGAAAAGAGAAGTGTTCTTCAATTTAAAAGCTCTTTTGCTGTATTACCTTCAAGTCTGATGTTCTAATTCCATGGAATACATGAAAATAATAGAACCAACTAACGGAATACCACTCGTTATCAGTGACCCGCAACATCGACTTGCGTACAGACATTGAGAATTTAACCCTAAGTCTTACACTTTTTGGTTACTAGCCTCCCAGTCCACAAGCCTTAATCAGATGGCGAAGGCTGGGGCGGGACTTTTCTTGCGGAAGTATCGGAAGTGACGCGTCGGTCTCGCGAGAAGCCGGACGCGCGAGCCTCGGCGGCCCGGAACCGGCCTTGGACGGGCGGCGGACCCTGAGGCGGCTGGCGCTCCCGCCCCATGGAGCGGCCCCCGGGGCTGCGACCGGGCGCGGGCGGCCCCTGGGAGATGCGGGAGCGGCTTGGCACCGGCGGCTTCGGGAACGTCTGTTTGTACCAGCACCGGGTGAGGCGGGAGCGGTGGCGCTGGGTCTGGCTGGGCGTCCCTGGGACACCGGCTGTCAGTCAGGGTGGCAGAGGTGTGGTTGTGCTGGGCAGTGCCGAGGGGCCGGTGAACGAGTGCGGGTGAGACCGCTTGTGAGCCTGGGTGGCCGAGTGCCAGGTGTGTCTCAGGTCCCCGGACAGTGAATGAGATGAAGCTGTTGCAACTGTCGAGTGTGTGTGTGTGTGTGTGTGTGTGTCTGTCTGTCTGTCTGTCTGTGTGTCTGTGTCTGTCTGTTTGTCTGTGTGTCTGTGGTGACGAGGGGTATGTGTGAACGTCGAGTGTGTGTGCGTGTGTATAGTGACGAGGAGTATGTATGAACGTCGAGTGTGTGTGGTGACAAGGGGTATGTATGAATGTCGAGTGTCTGTGTGTGTGTGTGTGTGTGTGTGTGTGTGTGTGTGTGTGTGTGTGTGTAAACAAGGAAGGTCCTTCCTGGTGTCCGGAGTTGAACCTTTGGAGACATTGGCAGACTCTGGTATTGGAGCGTTCCAGGCAAGGAACAGTGTGAGGGGAAGGTGGTGAAAATGACCTTTGCTTCAAAGGGAAAGAAGTAGACTGAGGGGTTTGTTCTGGGAAAGACAGCTAAAATCAGGCTCGGGAAAACGTTTAACCGTTGGCAACAACAGTTACTCATACTCTTTGAAGATTTGTGAACTAACGGATCTTTTCTCCGGAAAAGTAATACCCATACAAACCAGTGCATTACCCTCGAGGGTTTGGTTTTCCTGAAGAATGTGGTGAGGTGTAGATTTTGAGCAAATTATCATTGGTCTGGAAGCTCCGCGGAAGGCTGTATCTCCAACCTGGTCCAGTGTGAGAGTTAATGCACACTATCACAAGTGAATTTGAGGCCAGCCTGGGTGGGCTTTATATTGTGGTCAAGGGCAGCCTGAGGTATGTAGGAAAAGACTGTCTCGGAAGTAAACATAAGCTCCATGTAATACCCTGGACACTGAAACCAGCAGCCAGAGGGTATTTGAAAAACCTAGTTCCATGGAATACTTTAGAGAAAGAATGTAGAAGCCAGGCATGATGGGAACACTTGGGAAACTGAGTTAGGAGGATTGCCTTCAGTTTAAAGCCACCATGGGCCACAGAGAGACCTTTTGTTTAATGTGTATATGGGATGGTGATGTAACTCAGTGGCAAAGTACATGCCCAAGGTCCTGGGTTCTGTCCTCAGCACTGCAGGTTCAGTCTGCCACACACGGAGCAGGGAATAATAGGGTCGAGTAAGATTTAGGATTGCAGGGATTGCATCTGCTAAACATATCCAGAGGGTGCATGTAGGTTATATTCCGACGGGCAACTTCGCTATGTTCAAATACATTGGGTAAGTGCTTGAGAATCGTAATTCAAATTAGGAATCCAATTTAAAAGCTCTAAAAAGTAAAGAAATTATCTTAGTGTTTTCAGACTTTCTTCCTGCCTCCCTCTTCCAAGTAACAGGAACTATAGACTCATATTACCACACACAATTTAGTTTCATTTTTTAAAAAAACGGGCCTTTTTGTTGTTATGCAACTATAAACTTCCCAGAGAATATTTTCTGTAAGAAGATTGACTTTCACAGAGAAGGTGAAATATAAGCCAAGGTGTTGAAGGATCTTTTGTGGTTGGGACCTATTTAAAGTAGATAACTTTCTGTCTCAGAATTTAGGGCTTATTGTCTTAGCTGTGCTGGAGTCTCCATGGTGGTAGTAGAATCTTATATAGGATATGACTACTGTCAGATGCCTATTTGCTTATAACGAGAGCTGAAAGGAGTACGCACTGTGGCAGAGCCAGCTCTTAGTCTCTCTTCCCCCCAACCCCTGCGCAGGGACAGTCTGGCTTTTAGCCTTCTTCCTCCTCCGGGTTTCTAATTCAGACTATCCTATCTAAGCTGTCTTGCTCCCCGCTTCCCCTTTCAGCCCCTGGGTCCTGCTCTCACCACTCATACAGTTTTTACCACACCTTTGGCTTGTAGCAGAAATGTCACATGTGATGCTCTTTTGAACTCTTTTTTTTTCTTTTAACATTTATTTATTTATTATGTATACAGTGTTCTGCCTATGTGTCTGACTGCAGGCCAGAAGAGGGCATCAGATCTTAATACAAATGATTGTAAGCTACCATGTAATCATATAACTGGGAAATGAACTCAGGACCTCTGGAAGACCAGCCAGTGCTCTTAATCGCTGAGCCATCATTCCAGTCCCTCTTTTGAGCTCTTAATGCATTATAGCTTGTTTGGTTCTGACTGTGTTATTAGTGTCAGAATACTACGATTATTTCCTGAAATGTGCATAGGATAGTTTTATTTTCATCCAGAACTGGTGAAATTACTAATCACAGGCAAGAGGTCTTAGGTTTGTATTAGGGTACTTAAACAGCAGTACACTTGTTTGGATGCTTTTCCATGTCATTTGAAGTGCAAAGATTAGGATCTAGTTTTGGAGAGTTTGTTTGTTTTTGTTTTGCATTAGACTTGGTCATGTGAAAACTATTTCTTGCTGTTTTAAGGTTAGGGAGCCCTGAATTATTTTCTTCTTTCTGAATATACTAGAATTTGGGACCCTTATTTCTTGTCTTGACTAAGCATGGAGAAGAAACTTGTTGGAGAAATGGGACCTTTGTATATTTCTAGTAGTATGTGGTTCTAAATCATTAACATATGTAATCTTCTGAAGAGACCTGTTGTAGCGTCCTTCTTAGTTTTTGCT